AAGCAGCAAATTACGTTTCGACAAAGTAAACATCGAGAAAAGAATTCCAAAAACAAAATCAACGCAGGACTTTTGGAGAAAAATTACAAGAAATTGCAGCTATAACCTATACGGCATCGACTGCTATAAATAGATGAATCAAAAATGAAATTGTCAGAACGAATACATACTGCGCGCAAACACGTGTCAGATGCTGAAAAGACGCAACTTGCTTAAGCCTTAACGCAGATAGGAAGCTGCACTTCGCGAGAAAGCAACAACTAGCTCTTCTAACAGGTAAGTGGAAAAAGGAAAGCAACGGTAAAATTACCTTAAAAATTATGTTAAAATAAATACCTTAAAATGTGTCTAATTCGAACCCCGACCTCGAGATTGAGATTCAGGCGTCCTCGCATCTGAGAAATGGTTGGTTGAAAATCAACAAACACTAGTCATAAAAAAATCATTGAGAACAGATGCTATTTAACTGACACTGCGAGTTGCAACAGCACTTTATTACCACGTTTAATTTACAAAAATTGAGTCGTAAAATAAAAATATTCCACCGCTTGTGACTTGAAAAAGACGCGCTTTTTTGAGCTTATTATATGCACAGGTGAAGCGGAGCTTCACATCACTGTCGATGCAGCAAACTAAATTAAGAATTACAAGAATTAGCCTAATTGTTGTGATAAACTTATTAAATAGTTTCCGGTTTGATATGTCTCAAGCAAAAGCTACTAGATGTGGACCATGCAACAAAACAGTGAAGGACAACGACTCAACTGCTATAGGATGTGAAAAGTGCAGCGCGTGGTTCCATGGGCAATGTGTTGGATTGTCTCCTGATGATGTAGCTACAATGGGCAAAATTCGAGGATGCTTCTGGCTGTGCTCTGGCTGCCTTGAGGGGAACATCTTCACATCCCAAGCTAAGTTTGAACTGATTATTCAAAGACAAGAAAGCTTAATCGAAATTACAAAAAGCATTAAAGAAACTAATGAAAATGTTGATCCAACCAAGACAACATCATCGAATGTACCGGTTAATAGTCGTATTAATAACAGTCACCGGGCCAACACATGTGAAAACGAGATAATCATCGACGGGGTCTGCGAAGACAACGGACAGTTTACATCCAATATAGAGGCCGAAGAAGCCAAAGTGTCCGAAATTTTTGATCATATAGGCGAAGAAAATCTCAGTATCTGCCAAATGTATAGACTTGGTAAAGCTAATCCCCAACAACGAAGACCGCGTCCTTTACTTGTTCGTCTGTCATCCGAATGGAATGCTAGAAAATGCCTGGCAAAATCTTACAAACTGAAGAATTTCAAAGAAAAGATTTTCATATCGAAGTCCCTGAACCAAGAAGAACAGATTCTGAAACGTAAAATCTTCAAGAAACGGTACGACATGATTAACAATGAAAAAGTTCCACGCGATGAGCTAAAAATTCGTGGTCTGACCCTCGAACGAAATGGTATCAAGATCAATCTTGACTGACTACAATCAAAGTTATGCCTTATCAACGCACAAAGTCTCTTGAGCATAAATCAGCGTCTGAAGTTAATCAATTTTCTTTCTTTACATTCTCCTGATATCGTGTTCATTACTGAAACATGGCTTAAACCAGAAGTTACTGATCCCGAAATTTTTCCTATGAATTCTCCCTATTCGGTTATTGCTCGAAAAGACCGCACTTCTGGAGAACACGGAGGTGTTCTCATTGCTACAAAAAGGAGTTTTGCTCTAAATTATTCAACTCTATCATACGATGCAGATTACTGCATCGGACTTTCAATATATTCGGGTGCAGTTAATCATATTTTCCTCCTTATTTACAACCCCCCCGCTTCGTCGCAGTTTCGGATACCTGCCAAAATGCTTACTGATTCAATACGTTATTTTAACTCCAAATTGATTAATGGTTCTAGTTCGTACACAATCTTAGGTGACCTAAATCTGCCTGATATCTGTTGGGCATCTTCTGATGGTGGCTGTGATTACTCGAAACTGTTCCTAGAGGTTATTGAGGATCATAGCTTAATGCCCCTTATATATGAACCCACACATCGCTCAGGCAACACTCTTGATATCATTTTAACTTCGCACACAGAATTGTTCACTGCATTTGTAAATGAAGTGCTTTACTCAGACCATTTTCCTTTATTTGCTTTTTTTACCATTCCTGAAGCAGCGCCTACTGTGAGTGGGAATTTTATGAAAACCTCTCTATCTAAATCATCTTTTTCTCATTCGATCTTCAATACTAACATCAGCCCTTGCTTTACCAAACTCATTGTGGAACAAAACTCATGTTATTCCATATCCACCACTAATGATTATGTAGATAGCTGGTACGCTCAGATCAATCATGCAATTCTTTCATCATGCGCACAGAAAACTAAAAGACGCCAGCAACTTCCCTATTATTATTCGTCGCATACAGTTCATTTACTGAATAAGCATCATTCCATATCTAAACGGACAGCCAACACAAATCATTTAGCTTCGATCCAACAAGACCTTAACAATTCAATCGAATTGGATAAAACTTGTCTCCTTGAATCTTTAAGACCAAATTCTACCCGTGATTGCTTTAAATACCTTCGATCTTTTACCAGAAGGAAACTACCAAACCAAATGCACTGGATGAATAGAAAAGCATCCACTTCTATTGAAATAGCCATTCTTTTGAACGATTACTTCTGTTCAGTGTTTCTAGAAAAGCATGAAATTCAAATCTTACAACCCGAAAAACCCACCATTTTTCTATCCGATCTCCATGTCAACCTTAAAAAGGTCGAGAAAGCTCTCAAATTTGCTAAAACTTCTTGTATTACCAACGACCGCCTCCCAACCTTTATTCTTAACTACTGCAGTGAATTAATATCTCCTCTAGTCGTGCAGCTCTTTGTCAAGGTTTTGGAAACTAAAACGTGGCCAGAACTTTGGAAATGTGCGTTTATTACGCCAGTTCTTAAATCTAGTAATCCCGAAAATGTTGAAAATTATCGCCCGATTAGCATATTGCCTCAATTATCGATTGTTCTGGAGAGAATGATCTTCGATTTCATTTATCCTAAAATTCGGGCTAAAGTTACACCTGCTCAACATGGTTTTATGACCAAGCGATCGACTGTTACTCAGCTTCTTGAATACCTAGATCAGATTTATAACGACGTCGAGGCAAAAAGCGAATGTCTTTCTGTGTACTTCGATTTTCGCAAGGCTTTTGATCAAGTTCCTCATCATATACTTATTTTGAAACTTGGTAATTTAGGCTTTGACGTTAGCTTTCTTGAACTTTTTGCTTCCTATCTCACAAACCGCACGCAAAATGTCTTAATTAACAATGAAGCATCTCCAAAAGGCCATGTAACAAGTGGTGTTCCGCAAGGAAGTGTACTCGGCCCTTTACTATTTATACTCTTCATTAATGACATGCCAGCTGTCTTGAAAACCTCTAAATGTTTTCTGTTTGCTGATGACAGCAAACTCTATTCAAAATATGACTTTTCCTTAGTTCAAATAGACATTGATCTATTTATCAATTGGACGCTTGAAAACGAAATGACATTTAATTCTGATAAATGCAAAGTTATTTGTTTTAACTCAACTTCCCCCAAATCTACACTTTGCCTTAATGATTACCCAATTCCGTCAGTTTCATCTATCAAAGATCTCGGAGTAACGATATCTAGTGATTTAAAGTGGGACATCCACATTAAAACCAAACTGGTTGCAGTTAACAAAGCTTTCCATTTCTTGAAACGTTCAATCCCTTATGGAGTATCCATGAGAACCAAATTCAAATATTACCAGCTATGTATTGTGAGTATTTTATTATACGGTAGTCAGGTCTGGTTTCCATCTTTAACATATCGCCGCAAACTAGAATTATTTAACAGAAAATGTTTGAAATGGGTAACGGGAGTCAACGACTATACAGAACAACTTAGAAAAACGAATTCCTTGCCAATTTCCTTCACTATAGCTTTACATGATATGTGTTTTCTTAATCGAGTCCTGACTGATCAATTTGATTTCAACCTTTACAGATACATAAATTTTACCTTTGCAGCCAAAGACCTTCGCAATAGCTCACGCCCTAAGCTTTCAACAACCCAGAATTGTCGACTCTTCTTTACAGAGCAATTTTTCTTCTATCGCGTCTGTCGGTATGCCAACATGATTTCAGCAAACAACATAGCCGACATTTTCTCATCGCCTGAAATTTTCAAAGCAAAATTGAAAATCTATCTGAAAAATAGAATTGATATGTTCAACTTAAACAACTCTTGTTCAATGCTACTTTGTTGCCATTGCATAAATTGCCGTTCGTGATGTCTTGTGTACATAATCATACCATTTCTTTTGTTTGATGCCTTTATATTTTAAAGGGAATAAATTCTTTTAGTAGTAGTAGTAGTAGTAGAAGAATGTTTAATCCTATATACGTATTTGAATTTTTAAAAAAAAAACCAAGTCGATAGAGCTTCAACCGAAAAACAGGAAATCAAAAAATTGTCGGAAGTAAAACTCATATTAAAAATCGATCGTTGTAACACTAATTTAACATTTAGAGCAATTAAGTTGATCATTTAAAAAAATAGAACAGAAATTAAGCAGACAAGAATTGGGTCGCAGGTTAATCGGCGAAAAGTTGAGCCTTAAATACATACCTGGCGAAAAAAAAACAAGCTCCAACAGACCTATGGACCTAACAGATTCAAAAGAACAGTTGTTCACGGGGAAAAAGTCTTTTTCCCCGATTACAAGACACTTGTTCTCGCAAGTCTGTATGTGAGCGCAATAACATTGACGCTAGAATACTAGTTAACTTCCAGGCATCAGATATACGAAAAACTGCCTGTGGATATTATAACGCAAGCTTGGCCGGTGTAAATTCAACTGTCTAGTTAACTCATTTAACTCATTGATTAGGATCACAGTTCAATTTGAGCTCATTGAAAATGACCTATGTAAGTGCGCTTCGTCAAATAACTATAAAAAATTAAAACTGCAAAAATTAATTTAATTTAAAATATTTGTAAGAAATTGTCATCAGATTACTGCATTGCTTCAATCAATTACGCATCGAATAGATACTTCAAAATTGCCGGTGAACCCAAATATCTGTAAGCCTTGCTCGCCAAACATTTTTATTTCCTCTGCACGTTTTCATCAGATTTGCAATCCGTTTTTATCAGCAAACAAAGCTATATCCTAAAACTGCTCACTTGACTGCACGCTCTGAATGATTGACTTTTCACTGCATAAATAGCAATATATATTGCAAGATCTAAGTTTTAAATCAAAATTTTAACTGTCAAAATTCAAGTTAAACAGAACTAACAAAAATAAAACTTGTGGATGGATTTTTACAAAACAAGTAGCCACGCTGAAAATACTTGACTCACTAATTGTTTTTTGAAGAGGCTGGCAGTTGAAAAATGGGAGAATCAGCGACGAGCTACAATGATTTCCACTGGAAGATTTTTTGTATGTATTAAACGGTGCTCTTTGGATGTAAATTTATCGGAAAATATCGCAATCTATAATTTAATTTACATATGCATCATCATGTTTAGGGTCATAAATATTGAATTTTTTTAAGGAAAAATAGATCGGCATTCAAAAGTTTCAAATTCATGTGTAAAAATACAATCCGTTCGTCTCCTCGACTATAAATACGATTAGAGTAAAACTACAAAACATCGTCAGCTTGTTATTTACATTGTACAATAAATTAGAGTTGATAAACTAAGATTGGACTAAAAACTCAGTGAGTTTATCATATTAACTGACCAGCACCAAGCATTAACTTCTGAGCTTCTCTTACTTTGCCAGAGCCGTTCCGTAATATCCGGAAGATCCCTGGTTAGTACTGGCATAAGGAGAGAAATTATTAACCGGTTCATTGTTATTAGAGTTGTTCGGTTGGCTATTGGTTGACTGCTTTGATGAGTTTTTTGTCAGTTTCCATTCGACCATAGCACCGTCTATAGAAACAGATACCAGTTTGCGACCACATGAACTCCATGCCACTGAGGTGACCATTCTGGCGTGGAAGGAGTTGGAGTTTTGGTGCCTGGATGAACGGCTGCTGCTGCTAGATGTCCTGGAACAATATTCATGTCAAGAATTTCAACTATGAGAAACAATGACCGACCTATGAACGTGCTCAATTGCAATGAATTTGAATCCTAAATGCTTATAAAGTAAGTTCAACATGGATAAAGCGACATTAAAAACATCGAAAACGTAAAATTTCGTACACAGTAGCTTACGACATTCACAAAACAAATATTAGAATGGCTAGTCACAAACTTGAATTAAGTATTCTATCAAATAATAACAATTACATTTCACCGTGACAATTTACTGACCTCTGATTGGATGCGGAGCTGGTGGAGTGGGCGAGTCTGGACCCAGTTCCGGAAGCGGGAATGGAAGCCACCCTTCTGGCTCTGGCAGTTGAGAGGGAAAGAGAGTAGATGCGAATGGATCTGTTGTCCAGGGGACAGGCAGTCAGCATCTCACTGTTGGGAGAGGTCCCATCTGCAGAGGGAGATGACAGCACGGCAAATCTGTTGATCCCCGAATTGGCCCTTGAAAAGTGAATTTAATCTAGTCCTGATTATGCACGAAGAACAATTTTTCTGGCTTTATTATTGCAACATCAATAACTTAAGTATAAAATAAAGATATTGGCGATAGCATCTTATGTCTGAAATTGAGGAAAAAATTCGAGACTGACGGACAAAATTAATAACACGGAGCAATCTTTCGATGAGCACTTAAGTTTCCATAACCAGCGCAGGTAAAAAGCAAAGTACAAAATTTCACCGCATTCAATTTTGTTCATCCATACCTGATAGATATCAAAGGTGATGACATGTTTCGCAGGTCCCACAGTTTCAGAGAGCAGTCGTCTGACGCAGAGAGAATGTGAGGAAAAGGACTGCCTCCACTTATGACATCACTAGAAGCTCCTCCAATCACCGAGTCACAGAATACTGCTGTCCTCACTTTCCGCGAGTGACCTTCACAGACGAACACTTTTTGGGGGTTGTTCAGGTCCCAGACTCGGAAGGTTCTGTCTTCGGAAGAGGATGCATAGAGCGTCGAGCTCCTGGCACAACTGATGTTAGTAATCCCGCCCTCGTGACCTTAAATGCGGTATTCCAACACCATTAAATCGTAATATGCCATTTCCGTTCTGAAATTTTCAGTCAGTGAAAAATAACTGTAACGTCAGAAAATTGGCTATGAAACTTCTCGAATTACTTAGAAGATTTATTTTGATTCTTGTTTTAAGACAAGTCTCCCATGCTCAAAATCTACGCACTATCACATTTCCTGAATCGAACAAACCTTCATTAACACGGACCATCCTTCCTGTGAGCGCGTCTGCCACTATCAGGTGCTGGTCCCAGCCTCCTGAAACTACTACGTTCCCAGCCACCAATCCTCCCAGAAACTCAGCCGCCATTATGGGGCCCGGCGGGACCGCATTAGATATTCCTGCTGAATATGATGCAACGACCGCACTCGGAGAAGCGCACACTAAAACTTCTGGTTGCTTCACGATCATCGGAGGTTGCAGTGTCCAGTCATTTGTGACCGTGTTTTCGTCGTTGAAGTCGCCATTCGGAGCAAAGTTTGAATTGTTCGTTGTAGAGTTATGCAAGAAGGGATCGAGTTGTAGATCGTCGATTAAAACATCGTCGTCTCCTGTAAACAAAACATACTATGTTCCATAAAATCAGACGCTACTGTATCTACTCAATAATAATTATTTGATACTTGAGATTTGAACAGCAATATGTCAAAATATAGCCATGTTAGAACAATTCATTATTGAGGGTTTTTGATAAAATAAACCAAATTTGAGAAAACTGGATCAAAAGGTACAGTTTTCTTTCGCTGAGAAATCAGAAAATTAAATTCCATTTTCGCAATTAGAAGTCGATCAAGTTGGTGGCGTCCCTCATTATGAAGGAACCGAATTTATTTTCAGCCAATCAGAAATGAGTATTTAATTTTCTGCTCCCTTTGACTTCGGTTCACTACAAGAACCATTCAGCGAATAGGAACTTCTCTTTATTATGATTGGTGATTGGTTGAAATTTTTCCATCATTCGGTCCCTGAGAATAGCATTCGATCACGTTTTTTGTGACCTTTACACTTTTGCTAGATGGTTGTCTTTGCCTTCCTTTTAACAAAGGCATTGAAGTGAACTTAGAAAGAAAAGAAATCATAAGTCAAACCGCAAAATAAAATATTTGAGCCTGAACAAATTTTAAGACTCTTCTTGAAAAAAAAACATCACGACCTAAATAAGAGTCTGAATAAAGTTCATCGACTCTTAACAACGTCTATATCACATTTATTTTAACCCATTTTAAACACGATAAGCCTTCCCTTTTTTAGTAACTCACCTGATGATTGTATATTGCGTGTATTTGCGAACGCATTCTTCCTCTGTACCATCCGCTCTTTGGAGTACCTCCAGATGTGCACGGATCCATCCCCTCCGGCTGACAACACCAGGGGTTCCTTTGGATGCAGTCTGGCTGAGTTCACACTACCCTGGTGTCCCGTGTAGCTGTACACTGCTTGTGATCCACAACCAGGCAACCACAATTTCACTGTCCGATCTAAAATGATGGCAACATTATTGTACTGGAAACCGAATGTAGGGAGAATGTTCGATTCGACTGCTTTTTCCATGCAACTCACATGCCACAAAGAAACGTCGTATGAAGTCCTGTGCCAATAATATTGCAGCCCTTTTACTCATAATCCAAGCTTTTATTAAGTGATTTTTTTTCAAAACTTTCTCTCCCTACATCTCCCCTTTATTATTCTCGTTTAATTTCATGTTAAAAAACTACAGCTCGTATTTTATTTCACCTACTAATGCACAAAAGGCAATCTAATTTGATGTATTGTATCGATTTACAAATGAAGATTCTTTCAGACGCATCAGAATTAAATTCAAATATACTAGCTGCACGTTGCTTGTCCAAAATTGATATAATTCATAACCATTTGAGAGCATTCGATTGCTGTAGGTCACATCAAGAACTAGGTTATTCGGTCAAACTCAATTGAACAGTCGATTAAGATTCTGGGCATTGTATTGCATCGGAACGGCTTGTCAATACCAATGTATGGGTTGAAGAATGAACTGACTATTCTGTACCATACCCAATTGCTTTCGATTGTTGGAAAGTGAAAACAATTCAAAGCTGACACGCGCTAAATGTTCGGATAAAGCAGTTAAAAACTGCTATTAGCTTGGAAAAAACAAGTGTCCAATGGCAAATTTAGCGCTATTTTTTAATTAATTTTAGGCGGAATAAATTTTATAACTAGATATCGACCAGGTGACTATTGATATTTTCGCAGTATTTCAAAGTACTTGCAATAAAATCAGAACATTGCATTACAAGATTTTAAATGCAAAAAAAGGAAGTCGATTTTATGAAAAGAAATTACTAGAAAAAAGTCGAAAAAACTACACCTACAAAAGTTTTATCCCTTTGTCTCGCACGATGTTCATGAACCGCCTTACCAATCATTGAGAAGAAATAGCTGAACGGCAACTAAGGTGACAAAAATTGAGTCGACTATGGTTAAGTCGAAAACGAAACTATAGCCACAACAGAATTTAAGCTTAAATTTTGAAACCCAAAACTTTACTACCCATCACTCCTGAAATGCAAAATCATGTATTAAAAAAACCCTTGAAACTACAAATTATCATTTCACTAAGCCGATATAACATAAGCCGAACCCGTTTAACCGAGAAAAAAAATACTCCAAATCAGAGTTGGTATAAATTTCAATTATAGCATAAACCGTTTGAATAAAAAATAAATACGAATCTTTAGAAAAAAAACCAGCTTGAAAGCCATACCAGATAATCTAAACTGCATTTGAAAAAAAAACAGCCGACAGAACTAGGGCGAAAATCAAAAATTCAAAAAAATCACTAATTTTTCAATACATATAATTGAAAAAATTAAATACCACCTGAAACGTACAGGAGGCATTTATTTGAATTTCAATAAATTGTGCATGACAACCTGTACACGTGAAAGCAACTCAATGTCTGCGCGTATGTCTTGAGTTTGTAAGAATAGTTTTTTTTCACGAGAAAAACAAGTCTAGTTCCCGATTAAAAGTCACTTGCTCTCGCAATAATTTGAAACAATTTTCGCCCAAAAATGGTTCGTTTTTCTCTTTTTCATCTGATAGCGCTGCAGAAAAAAAATACGATGGAAAGCTTCTTAACACTTACGAAACATCGCAAGCATGGTATTGCAAGCTGGCTAAAACAAATTTAAATCAGAAATCACTTTGTCAAAAATTATTGAAAAAATTTAACTAAAAAACTCCATGCTTTTGCCTCGACTGGCAATTTCATCAACAATCACTAGCGTTAAATAAGAATTTAGTACCGCTTACCGAGCGACCACTAGGCCGAAACAACTTAGCTAGACAAACGCTTAACAGAAAAAAATAAAAACAAAGCCAACAGTCAGCTGGCGCAAGGAAACGCAAGGTTTCAAGAACAATTTATGATTGACGCTTTTGTTGATGAATATGACTCAATTTGAGAAAACAGGACCAGTAAGAAAAATTTTTATTAAGAAATCTGAAAAATAAAATCCATTTTTGAAACTTGAAGTCGATCACGTTTTTCGGTACCTTTACACTTTCACTGTTCGATACTGAAAATTTTATTCCTTTTAATAAAGGAAATAGACTGAGTTTAAAAAATCAAAAAACAAACCGCGAAAAATCGATTTTGAAGAATTTTACTGCGTTAATTGATCCTTAATAACGCCATTAAAAAATTCTCATAAAACTTATACACTCAAAAATCAATGTTTGAACCCCACTCCTTCAGAAACAAACAAACTATAAATTTTGCCCTTGAAAATAGTCAATATAAAGTGACCTAACCAATATAACATACACCGAAATCATCAAAGTATAAAAAGGAACGTATTCGTAAACTACAAATACCAGACTACTTTCAACACAGAAGCGAAGCTGAATTTCCAAGCACTTGTGATACAACAACTTTAAGATCGAAATAGCATGACGCTCAAGAAGTGGCGCTCATGCAAAAAAGACACGAGAAAAACGAAAATTTTGTGGGATTGACTTCAAAATTCAAAAAAATGAAAACTCGAAAAACATTGACAGAGTCTTCACGATCTCCAAAATATCACCAAAAATTTTCGGCACAAATCTTATGGGCAAAAATTGCATTTATCAATGTAAACCTTGCATTTATCAATGTAAAATTGCATTTATAATGTAAACCGACAAAGCTTAAGTCAACTCATATGAAGCTGAAAAACCCTTACCAAAAATATCAAAATCCTATAATAAAAGTTAGAAATCTAGATATAGCATTTACCAGTAGTTAGGAGCATTAGTAGCCAGTAGTTAAATTTGAATTTTCAGGAAATTGAGCATGTCAACAGTACAAATGATTCAAGTGATTTTGTTAAGCTAGCTGTTGACCCGAAAGTCTCAAAATTCCGAACGGACGTTTGCTTAGTGCAAGCATAACTCTAGCAAAAATTGGTTAAATCGGAAAAAAAAATTCCACAGATTGAAAAAACTGACAAAAAATAACAAAACACGATAGTCGGTCCTCCGACTATTCAAAATTTCCCAGAAAAAAAGTCAAACTAATACGTTTCGATAAAAAACAAAGGTCCAGCCGAGATTGGAGCCTCTGAAACTAAGAATCCCCAAGGCACACGCGTTACCCTGAGACCATTTGAGGGGCATCAAAGGTGTTGAGGTTCCCTAATAAGCAATATGACGCCTTACAGATTTGTTTGAAAAATGGTTTACAAAAAGTCTAGTTGTTTACAAAAAGAAGGAAGAATAAAACCTGCGAGTACAACAGAATATCATTGCTCAAATCAACCTGCGCTTCCTGGTCACGTCAATTTTTCTCGTTTCTTAACTAAACTTAACTTTTTAGACACTTGCCTGATGATGCGGATGCGATGACGTCGCAATCCTGACCCCAATGCCAGTCCACATCCCAGACACTATCTGCATGGCCACTGTACACTGTGGATGTTTTGGCCACTGAGGAGTTGCTGCCTCCTCCTGTGGCGCGGTTGGAAATGCCAGCCACAATCGCTCCAGAGTTCACTGCGTCCAGAGTGCCTGCCTTGAATGTGGACACTATCTTGTTGATACCTGTCTTCGTTCGCTGAGCCACTGAAACAGCAAAAAAGGCAAAATTACTCATTTTGAAAACTATTCTAAAATACCCATTAACTGTTTGTCGCTGGGTTCGAATATTTATCACTCAAATAATTAAAATTCATTATATCACACAATACAGAACTTATTCAAACTGTCAAAAAAACATATCAAACACTCCAACAGAAAATTGGAAAAGAGTCAATGAACACAAGTGAGCAGCAAAAACTGACTTGTTTTTTGAAAAAAACCTCATCTTTATAATTTCGAAGAAAAAAATAGATGCCTTTAGACTCTTAGAATTTCAAAAAAAAACAATTTATGATTGGCACTTTTTTGATAAAAATAACTCAATTTGAGAAAACTGATTTAATAGATAAATATTTTATTCCGCTGGGAAATCTGAAAATTAAATTCCACTTTGGGGACTAGAAGTCGATCACGTTTTTCTTGACCTTTTCACTTCTGATGTTCGATTGTTGAATTTGCCTCTCTTTTAACGAAAAAAAATGAAATGTACTTAAAAACAAAATAAAAACGCAAAAAAGTAAATTTGAGCCTACACAAACTTTAAAACTTCTAAAAAAATGAAAAAAAAATGTCACTGACTTATAAGAGTTCTTAGAAACGATGTTCGACTAACAATTGTTTTTGGAACGGACTATTTCACATTTGAAAGCAAAAATTTTTCCGGACAAAGTTTGCCGGAGAAAGTAAAATGAAAGTATTATAAACTTGCAGCTGTAAGGAAAAATTCCGTGATAAGGCAAATAAGCCGACAAAACATAATCAGACAAACGATAGGCTGACAATTTTTTGTAACGGATTTTTTTATAGTTTAGTACACAAGACTACTAAATTATATTTTGAGTGATATATCATATTAAAGCCCTTTCAGTTGTGATTCGAACCACACTAACGTCGAGAAAAAGTGGTTTGAAATTTTGGATTTTGTCTTAATTCGAGCGAATAAATGCAAGCGAGCATTTTTTTGTTTTCCACGCAAAATCAGCTACCACAAATAATTATTCGACTGGCTTGAGTAATATATCATATTAAAGCCCTTTCAGTTGTGATTCCAACGACATCAACAAGTTTTCCCGGTGTCGAGAAAAACCAGTTTGAAATTTTTGATTTTTCGTTTAATTTCGAGCGAGTGAGCTGGCTTACATTAGCTTATTTATGCTTATTATAATTTGAAAATATACTACGTATAATATAATATTTATAATTTAATTTTTCAAGAATCTCAGCAACTCAATGGAGCACATTAATGGAGTGCGCGAGCTCTCCAGTGATTCAACTGATTTTGTTCAAAAAATTTTCAACCCGATACAGCATGCTCCTTGGACATTCACCTTGTCTAAACAAGTCACTAAAATTAATTAAGCAGCCAAATAAAGTAGCCAACTGGTGGAACAATCAAATAAATTAAAACAGCGCCTTGAAGTCGAAGTGAAAATCATCAAAATTCGTTTTGATAGTTTGAATTACTGAAATGCCATTTTTGAACGAAATATAAGCCATATGAAATCAAAATATAGCCAACAGAAGGATGGAGAAAGGCCCATGCACTCGAGAAAACCTAAAAGAGACACTCTTTTAAAGACTTTTCAAAACAATATATTTCTTATCTTATCTGATTGATGATTTCAAAACTGGATGAAAAGGTTATTTTCCTTCCTTGTAACAAATAAATCTGAACTAAGACTTTGTCAAACAAAAAAATTTCAAATTTGAGCATAAAATAACAAAAATCCATAAGACTTAAAAGTCTTCGTTTCGTTCATATACACTTAACGAAAATGATGCGCAAGCCGTAAAAATTGGCAAACGATTCAGCAAAAACAAATCATTAAATACTACTTTTTGCAAATTTTAAACAGTGAACACTTATCAATTTTATTTCGCCCAGGCAGAGCTAATCATTATCTTCGAAAGCCACACAAGTCTAAATCAAAATATTAAAGAGATGAGAACCGTAAATAAAAAAATTGATGCCCAAACTCATCCTGGCTGAAAACTTTGATCAATCAGATAGAATGAACAAAAGACCGTAATCCTTAGAGATGTGCCCTATGAGAAGTTAAAAAAGCTTGGGACAACTAAGACAAATAACGTTAAAGTTAATAGATGAATAAAGTCAGGTATATCCGCTATATCATGTACCGCTATATCATAAACCATTTGGAGCTTTGAATGTGTTCGAACAATATCAGCCTGCGGACAAAGTTTCTATAACGGGAAATAAACACGTCTGCGCCCTTACTTGTCGCAAGAGTGAAAAACTATGGCTGAATTTTTAAACAAAAAGCCGGTTGCTGGACAGGTAGCACAGAATAATCCGAACACACTCAGAATAATCCAAAAAATTGACCTAAAATGCCTGTTATTTTTTCTGGAAACGACGATTGAATTAAGTGAAAACTAGCGTGTAACGCACCCTCCGGTGCTTCGAATTTTAACAACTCAAAAACTCCGAATTTATCGGACATTACTTTTATTTATTATATTATATCTAGGTTTATAATAGATGAAAAAAACAATACATCTCGAAAGCTAAAAGCAATTGAGCAGTAGCATTTGGACGCAAGATTTGCAACTCCTCAGAGTTCTCTGACAGTCCCCAACTATAGGGTTCGGAATTTCAAGTTTTGGAAAAAAGTTCAAACTTTCTGAAATTTTTTCAAAAAATCACAAGAAATGTCACATCTGGGAAACAACAAAGATTTGAGCAGTCATTTTTAGAGGCAAAATTGGCAACTCTTGAGAGTACTCAAACAGCCCCATATTAAAGGGGTGAAATTTCAAATTTTAGAAAGTTTTCTGAAAAGGTTTTGAAAAAATAAGAAAAAACGTCATATCTCGAAAACTTCAAAGATTTGAGCAAGCATATTTGAAGGCTAAACTCACAACTCCTGCTGGGAGTAAACTAACAGAGCCTCACTGTAGACATGGAAAGTTCAAGCTTTGTTGTTGAATTTTTTTACCTAAATTTTCTGAAACATTTTGAAAAAAAATCCTAAAAAACTAAAAAACGTCATATCTCGAAAACTACAAAAATTTGAACAATCATATTCAGAGGCCAGATTCTCAACCCCCTGAAAGTACTCTCACAGATTCCAATAACAGGATTGATATCTTCATAGTTTTGGATTTTTTTAGCATCTAAGTTTTTTTTTGAAAATTTCGAAGAAAATCATAAAAAGCGTCATATCTCGAAAACTATAAGGATTTGAGCAGTCATATTGGGAGTCAAATTTTGCACCTCCTGAGAGAACCGTGACAGAGCCTCACTACAGCGGTAATAAATTCAAATTTTTTATACCTAAATTTACTGAAAAATTTTGAAAAAAAATCCTAAAAAACGTCAGATCTCGAAAACTACAAGAACTTGAACAATCATATTCAGATTTTCAACCCCCTCAAACTACCTTCACAGATTCCAATAACAGGATTGATATCTTCAAAGTTTTGGAACTTTTTAACATCTAAGTTTTTTTTTTGAAAATTTCGGAGAAAATCATAAAAAGCGTCATATGTCGAAAACTATAACGATTTGAGCAAATTTTTCGAAATTTTTTATACCTAATTTTTCTGAAAAATTTTGAAAAAAAAACCTTAAAAAATGTTTAATCTCGAAAACTACAAGAGTTTGAACAATCATATTCAGAGGCCAGATTCTCAACCCCCTGAAAGTAACCTCACAGATTCCAATAACAGGATTGATATCTTCAAAGTTTTGGAACTTTTTAACATCTAAGTTTTTTTTGAAAATTTCGGAGAAAATCAAAAAAAGCGTCATATCTCGAAAACTATAAAGAATTGAGCAGTCATATTGGAAGTCAAAATTTGCACCTCCTGAGAGTACCATGACAGAGCCTCACTACAGGGGTAATGATTTCAAATTTTTCGAAATTTTTTATACCCAATTTTTCTGAAAAATTTTGAAAAAAAAACCTTAAAAAATGTTATATCTCTAAAATTACAAGAATTTGAGCAGCAATATTCAAAGGCAAGATTCTCAACCAACTGAGAGTACCCCCACAGATTCCAATTAGAGGATGGAGATCTTAAAACTTTTGGAATTTTTAACATTTAAGTTTTTTTGAAAATTTCGGAGAAAATCATAAAAAACGTGATATCTCGAAAACTACATGGATTTGAGCAGTCATACTTGTCGGCGAAATTCGCAACTCCTGAGAGTATCCTGACAGAGCCTCACTATAAAGATGGTTATTTCAAGTTTTGTGAAATTTTTGATATCAAAGTTTTCTTAAAAAAATGAAAAAATCCAAAAAAACGTCATATCTCGTAAACTACACGGATTTGAGCAGCCATAATCAGAGGCAAGATTCGCAACCCTGAGAGTACTCTCACAATATCCAATAACAGGATTGAGATCTTCCACGTTTTGAAATTTTTTAAAATCTAAGTTTTTGAAAAATTTTAGAAAAAATCATAAATAACGTCATATCTCTAAATCTCAGTACCCTGGCAGCACCCAACTACAGGGTGAGAATTTCAAAAATAGAGAAATTTTTAGAGAAAAAATCTCGAAAATTGCCTATCTCGTAAACTAAAAGGATTTGGTTAATCATATATGGAGGCCAGAATCGCAAGACCTGGAAAAGTTCATACAATTTCCTACTATTGGGTTACTATTTTCAAACTTGATGAAAAAAACACTGAGTTTAAACTGGACAATCAAAAAAAACTTAATCATTGCAATATACGATATAGCTTAAACGTGAAAAAATTTTCTCGTTAAACATGCAAAAATAAAACGTTGAAAAAGCTTAAACATGGCGAGATAGTGAAGCCCGACTTTAAATATATAAGAAAAGAGATGAAAGTTAAAAAATTAGGCGACGGGTAGACAGACATAATCAAATTAATTTAAAAAGCAGGTATACAGACAGACAGACTTAATTTGGCCAAGAAAAAAATACTGATAAAATAATGACCTTGCGGAAAACTAATTGAAAAATTTTAATAAGCACTGCAATATATGATATAGCTTAAACATGAAAAAATTCTTTCGTTAAACATGCAAAATTATTATGCTTAAACATAGAAGATAGCTGTCACTCGCATTTAAATATAGTATAGATAGATATAGATATAGATAGATAGATAGATAGATAGATAGATAGATAGATAGGTAGATAGGTAGATAGGTAGATAGATAGATAGATAGATAGATAGATAGATAGATAGATAGATAGATAGATAGATAGATATAGATAGATGTAAGAATGAGTGCAGTGGTAAAGGCTAAAAACGTTAAAACTGGTGAGAAACTCATGTATTCTAAAATTTCGTCTCATCCAGTCTGTAAATCAAAAAATCAGGCCAAATTTTCTCGATTCGAACGCAAATCACTATTTATAACGCAAATATTTATAATATTGTGCATGCCATTAGCGCACGAATTGAAAACTCAACAAAAGTCAAGTTCCCAATTTTGAAACAACACAACTTTTAAATTTGAACTCAAAACGCAATGCAACTAATTTGTCTGAATCTTATGACTGTCTTAAAAAGTAAACGCTTAGTATTAGATAGCACCTTTTTTCTAAACGTTCTAATTTCTTTTTTCTTCTGTTTCTCTAAATAATTCATAACTGCCTCGTTCTAGATAATTTAACCTTTCCGTTTCCCCTAGTCTTAAGGATTTTGCCAGGTACCTGCACAAAGACGGGGACAAATATGATACCACATAGGACCCCTGCGTTTTTCAAGATGGTCAAAATTTTCAAGGAGAAAAAACACTGGTTAAAAGATGGTGTTCTAAAATAGTGACTATTTCTCTTTCAGAAATTCGTGAGCTGACAATAACTAGGCAAGTACCCAATAGTCCAAAACCTTAAAGCAAGCTAGAAAACTTCCATTTTGCAAAAAGTACGGTTTGGTCGCGAACGCGTCCCCCTGGGCATTTTGAAACAAAAGCAAGCGTCAAATAACTACGCTAAAAGGGCAATGGTACTAGAATAATTGACGTTTCATGATAAAAACACTCAAATTCTTACAGTTTTTGTATATGTTGTTCAATGGAGAAATTTCTAGATCGCGCTAAAAAGACAGCTGCTCTCGGTGTAAACAGATTTCAACAATTTGTGTTCAAGATAATACTGAGTTTAATATTATATCACATTATCAAAAACGAACCCTATCCTCTAGATCATCAAAAATACGTCATTGGAGAGGGTGTTGTATTGCTAAATATTTCAAAGTCTTTACAGGCGTTTTCACAACTTTCTTACTAACGAAAAGAAAATGGTAATTCCGACCGCAATTGACTTCGTCTTGCGCAGGTCGTATAATTCGGTTTTATACGTACCTCTCAGTTTTGATTTCTGGTCGGCTGAGGATGTCAAGGCGGCGCTGTTTGGCATAGAAGGCGCCACCTGGGGCAAGACACTGCTCGTATGACTCATGTTATTATTGCTCACAACTACATTCGACACTGGAGTGCACGATTCAGTTGTCACGTGGGATGACCGACTCGAAATCGGTTCGAGATTGTTCTCGTCTGAGTACACATTGGCATTCGGATGTCCAGTTGGTAAACAGAAGTTGGCGTTATTGTTGTTATTTGAGTTGATATCGGAAGAATTAAACTGCTGTTGCTGCATTTGATTCATTTTTTGTACGACTAAGTTATTGATTTCAGCTTTTTTAATTATAATTATGTTCTTTAAATATAAAAGTCAACCGTTTAATTTTCCATTTAATTAAAAACGATATTGTTGTTATCTACTCTTGTTCTTTTAAGGAGCCTCATAAAAAATTATCCTTCCCACGAAATTTGGGACAAATGTATCTATTAATATTTGAGAAAAGCCACAACAAAAGGCAGTCTACAAATCAAAGTTAATACAATACCTACAAAATAATGACCTTGCGGAAAACTAATTGAAAAATTTTAATAAGCACTGCAATATATGATATAGCTTAAACATGAAAAAATTCTTTCGTTAAACATGCAAAATTATTATGCTTAAACATAGAAGATAGCTGTCACTCGCATTTAAATATAGTATAGATAGATATAGATATAGATAGATAGATAGATAGATAGATAGATAGATAGGTAGATAGATAGATAGATAGATAGATAGATAGATAGATAGATAGATAGATAGATAGATAGATAGATAGATAGATTTATATAGATGTAAGAATGAGTGCAGTGGTAATAAAGGCTAAAAACGTTAAAACTGGTGAGAAACTCATGTATTCTAAAATTTCGTCTCATCCAGTCTGTAAATCAAAAACTCAGGCCAAATTTTCTCGATTCGAACGCAAATCACTATTTATAACGCAAATATTTATAATATTGTGCATGCCATTAGCGCACGAATTGAAAACTCAACAAAAGTCAAGTTCCCAATTTTGAAACAACACAACTTTTAAATTTGAACTCAAAACGCAATGCAACTAATTTGTCTGAATCTTATGACTGTCTTAAAAAGTAAACGCTTAGTATTAGATAGCACCTTTTTTCTAAACGTTCTAATTTCTTTTTTCTTCTGTTTCTCTAAATAATTCATAACTGCCTCGTTCTAGATAATTTAACCTTTCCGTTTCCCCTAGTCTTAAGGATTTTGCCAGGTACCTGCACAAAGACGGGGACAAATATGATACCACATAGGACCCCTGCGTTTTTCAAGATGGTCAAAATTTTCAAGGAGAAAAAACACTGGTTAAAAGATGGTGTTCTAAAATAGTGACTATTTCTCTTTCAGAAATTCGTGAGCTGACAATAACTAGGCAAGTACCCAATAGTCCAAAACCTTAAAGCAAGCTAGAAAACTTCCATTTTGCAAAAAGTACGGTTTGGTCGCGAACGCGTCCCCCTGGGCATTTTGAAACAAAAGCAAGCGTCAAATAACTACGCTAAAAGGGCAATGGTACTAGAATAATTGACGTTTCATGATAAAAACACTCAAATTCTTACAGTTTTTGTATATGTTGTTCAATGGAGAAATTTCTAGATCGCGCTAAAAAGACAGCTGCTCTCGGTGTAAACAGATTTCAACAATTTGTGTTCAAGATAATACTGAGTTTAATATTATATCACATTATCAAAAACGAACCCTATCCTCTAGATCATCAAAAATACGTCATTGGAGAGGGTGTTGTATTGCTAAATATTTCAAAGTCTTTACAGGCGTTTTCACAACTTTCTTACTAACGAAAAGAAAATGGTAATTCCGACCGCAATTGACTTCGTCTTGCGCAGGTCGTATAATTCGGTTTTATACGTACCTCTCAGTTTTGATTTCTGGTCGGCTGAGGATGTCAAGGCGGCGCTGTTTGGCATAGAAGGCGCCACCTGGGGCAAGACACTGCTCGTATGACTCATGTTATTATTGCTCACAACTACATTCGACACTGGAGTGCACGATTCAGTTGTCACGTGGGATGACCGACTCGAAATCGGTTCGAGATTGTTCTCGTCTGAGTACACATTGGCATTCGGATGTCCAGTTGGTAAACAGAAGTTGGCGTTATTGTTGTTATTTGAGTTGATATCGGAAGAATTAAACTGCTGTTGCTGCATTTGATTCATTTTTTGTACGACTAAGTTATTGATTTCAGCTTTTTTAATTATAATTATGTTCTTTAAATATAAAAGTCAACCGTTTAATTTTCTATTTAATTAAAAACGATATTGTTGTTATCTACTCTTGTTCTTTTAAGGAGCCTCATAAAAAATTATCCTTCCCACGAAATTTGGGACAAATGTATCTATTAATATTTGAGAAAAGCCACAACAAAAGGCAGTCTACAAATCAAAGTTAATACAATACCTACAAAATAATGACCTTGCGGAAAACTAATTGAAAAATTTTAATAAGCACTGCAATATATGATATAGCTTAAACATGAAAAAATTCTTTCGTTAAACATGCAAAATTATTATGCTTAAACATAGAAGATAGCTGTCACTCGCATTTAAATATAGTATAGATAGATATAGATATAGATAGATAGATAGATAGATAGATAGATAGGTAGATAGATAGATAGATAGATAGATAGATAGATAGATAGATAGATAGATAGATAGATTTAGATAGATGTAAGAATGAGTGCAGTGGTAATAAAGGCTAAAAACGTTAAAACTGGTGAGAAACTCATGTATTCTAAAATTTCGTCTCATCCAGTCTGTAAATCAAAAACTCAGGCCAAATTTTCTCGATTCGAACGCAAATCACTATTTATAACGCAAATATTTATAATATTGTGCATGCCATTAGCGCACGAATTGAAAACTCAACAAAAGTCAAGTTCCCAATTTTGAAACAACACAACTTTTAAATTTGAACTCAAAACGCAATGCAACTAATTTGTCTGAATCTTATGACTGTCTTAAAAAGTAAACGCTTAGTATTAGATAGCACCTTTTTTCTAAACGTTCTAATTTCTTTTTTCTTCTGTTTCTCTAAATAATTCATAACTGCCTCGTTCTAGATAATTTAACCTTTCCGTTTCCCCTAGTCTTAAGGATTTTGCCAGGTACCTGCACAAAGCCGGGGACAAATAGGATACCACATAAGACCCCTGCGTTTTTCAAGATGGTCAAAATTTTCAAGGAGAAAAAACACTGGTTAAAAGATGGTGTTCTAAAATAGTGACTATTTCTCTTTCAGAAATTCGTGAGCTGACAATAACTAGGCAAGTACCCAATAGTCCAAAACCTTAAAGCAAGCTAGAAAACTTCCATTTTGCAAAAAGTACGGTTTGGTCGCGAACGCGTCCCCCTGGGCATTTTGAAACAAAAGCAAGCGTCAAATAACTACGCTAAAAGGGCAATGGTACTAGAATAATTGACGTTTCATGATAAAAACACTCAAATTCTTACAGTTTTTGTATATGTTGTTCAATGGAGAAATTTCTAGATCGCGCTAAAAAGACAGCTGCTCTCGGTGTAAACAGATTTCAACAATTTGTGTTCAAGATAATACTGAGTTTAATATTATATCACATTATCAAAAACGAACCCTATCCTCTAGATCATCAAAAATACGTCATTGGAGAGGGTGTTGTATTGCTAAATATTTCAAAGTCTTTACAGGCGTTTTCACAACTTTCTTACCAACGAAAAGAAAATGGTAATTCCGACCGCAATTGACTTCGTCTTGCGCAGGTCGTATAATTCGGTTTTATACGTACCTCTCAGTTTTGATTTCTGGTCGGCTGAGGATGTCAAGGCGGCGCTGTTTGGCATAGAAGGCGCCACCTGGGGCAAGACACTGCTCGTATGACTCATGTTATTATTGCTCACAACTACATTCGACACTGGAGTGCACGATTCAGTTGTCACGTGGGCTGACCGACTCGAAATCGGTTCGAGATTGTTCTCGTCTGAGTACACATTGGCATTCGGATGTCCAGTTGGTAAACAGAAGTTGGCGTTATTGTTGTTATTTGAGTTGATATCGGAAGAATTAAACTGCTGTTGCTGCATTTGATTCATTTTTTGTACGACTAAAAAGTTATTGATTTCAGCTTTTTTAATTATAATTATGTTCTTTAAATATAAATGTCAACCGTTTAATTTTCCATTTAATTAAAAACGATATTGTTGTTATCTACTCTTGTTCTTTTAAGGAGCCTCATAAAAAATTATCCTTCCCACGAAATTTGGGACAAATGTATCTATTAATATTTGATAAAAGCCACAACAAAAGGCAGTCTACAAATCAAAGTTAATACAATACCTTCAAATTGAGGACATTTCAAAGTAAGTTGGTATCTTCAAAATATCCTATTTCGCCACCTATTCGTTCGAAGTAAAGCAACTCATTGATACTGTTATGTAATACAAACAACAAATACTTACGTCTCGTGTTTTCACTTTGCAGTCTTTGATTCTCTTGCGTCAAATTCTGAAACTCCGCTTCTATCCTCGAGAACAATGACTGCAAAATAGGCGATACAGAAGTCAACGAGTCCACGGCTGACAGGAACGGAAAAGCCGGAGGAACTGTCGGAGATCCCGTTACCCGCATCATACCCCGCAAATTCCCCATACCCCCAATTCTGTCTTGGTTGATATGTGAAGATGCCAACGGTATTGTCATTTGGAGTGATTCTCTGGCAGCAGAAGTTAAGTTAGCTGAAGCCGAAATGGGTAGTTGTGCTTGATAATTAGATGGCCCCGCTGAGCTATTGTCAGAAGTGAAAAGGTTCGTACTTGAGTCCAGAAGATGCTCGCTGACGTCATTCGAGGTAGACATTTAGCTGTCTCTAAGTTTGAATCCACTCACGTTTCAGCATCCGTCGGTCATTCATCAGGTACATTTAGCCCTTGATGTTGATAACTATCTAACATGATGCACCATTTTTACTGCTTTTTGGGTAAGAAATTAGAAGGGGATATTTCCAAGAGCTAGAAGCTAATTTTGAACCAAATAATAGAACCAAGCAACATTCGTGTTAGCTAGCATACGAGTCTGGAAAAAAAGGATAAAAACAAAACAGTCGAGGTAGAGTGCATTAGAGAAATCGGTGATAGTTTCCTACTTTGAATTATAGATTTCTATCTTTCACTTTTAAAACAAGCTCTACAGTTACTTGAATAATATTGAATGGCTAATACGGCGTACGCTACATGTTCTGATGATTACCACTCAGTCTTTATTTCTATTTTGCACGACTATTGGCAAGAATTTGATTTTTTTTTGCCTATAGTTATCTTTTGAAAACATTGAGACAAGTTGCAATTAAGCTCATAGCTTTCGTTATTTGAGGATATCTATGCCCTAATTATCTTGATCCTTCGATTTCTATTGGGTTAAAAATATCGTAATTAGAAAAATATTAACTGTAAAAACATTGCGTGATAAATAAAACTTTCTAATTCTGAACAAATGGAAAATGTTCAAATCAAAATAGCTGCTCTTCAATCATTGAGAAGCAGCAAACATACCGCACCTCAAGAAGAGACATGATCTCACTTTGAAAATTAACAAACAATCGACAGACTTGAACTACATATACCAAGAAGCATTTTGAACATCCATTTTAATCCAATTCATTTCAGTGCCAGTAGATTCACATTCAACTTCAGTGACCTAGCTCAATTGTCCGAAGCTTCACAAAGACTCTTAAGTTTCATATTTTTCAGAAAAACTAAACTCCAGAGTCAAACTCCAATATCCGACATACACCGCTCAAAAAACTCCAAATTGAGCTTCGGAAAATGGAACAAATACAGCACGACTGATTAGTGCTTATAAACTATTCTATTCATCTGCCAGCATAACAAAGAGAAGACATGATTAACCAGTGGAGGTCATTCCCGTTGATTTTATCAATTAAGGATATATTAAATAGAGCATGAAATAACTAGCAATTCAAGCGACCGACAAATTTTGACAAGCAAAGCCTCCTCTCAATTAATCAACACTTGGTATTGATAAGTTACCCACTGACTGAAACTTGGCTTTCAAATTTACTAAATGATAGAAGGCTTTGGATGAAGCAATCAAAATTAAGTTTCAGTAAAAATCAAGAACTATTTGTTGAAACCATATGAAGAATATAAAATAAGATTAGCATGAAAACTGAAATACATGTTGCTTTAATTTTGATCGAATGTGATCAGTTCGGTGCATTTGTCAACAGCGTCTTTCACATTATTACATTACTTTTCTTGTTTCGTTTATCTAACTTTGTATCTAATTTCCATTCACAATTAACAAGATTTATTTATAAAATGTTGCAGAGATTTCTGAAAAACGAGTTGGCATTTTTGGTGCCTGGTACATTTATGTTCAGCCCTCCGCCCTTGCCACCAGCCGGTCTTTTGTTTCCGGCTCCGTTCGCGCTCTGGTGGTCCAGGTTCTTTTTATCCTCCTTTGCTTTGATGGCCTTTGCGAACTCGAAGAAGGCCGTTTCGACGTTGACGCTGTCACGTGCGCTCGTCTCGAAGAACTTGACCCCGTAATTGTCCGCCAGACGCTGTCCCTTTTCAGTCGTGATTTGTCGCTTGGACTCCATGTCACACTTGTTGCCCAGAATCAATTTTTCTACGTCGGCAGAGGCATGCTAAATCACATAGTACAGATAATTACGTTTATTTTGAAAATTCAAGGGCGAAAACTTTCAAAAAAAATCAATCAGCCAAGACTCCCGTAAGTTTCAATGATTTACCTCTTCTGTATTTTTGATCCAGTTGCTGATGTTGTCAAATGAGTCCTGACACGTGACATCATAGACCAAAATGATCCCCATAGCACCCCGATAATAAGCAGTTGTGATGGTTCTGAAGCGCTCCTGACCAGCAGTGTCCCTGGTAATGAGTTTCTATGTACAATAGAAATAAGAAACGGCAGCACATTTCATTGTACGATACGCAAAACATGGCCAACAGACAAGAAAGTAGGAAAGGTGTTAAAGAAATCAAAAAACCATTTTCATTTTTTTTTGGAAATTTCGTGTTTGAAGCAGAAAACTACATCAATTTAAGCTGTATTTTTCAAATTCTTTCTCTTGTATGATTGACTTCGAAAAACTAACCCAACTTGAGAAGACTGGATCAATAGGTTTTTCTTAATCAGCTGTGAATTCCCAAAAATCCATTTTCAAAACTACAAGTCCATCGCACTTTTTCGCGCAATTTGCACTTTGCTTGGAGAGCGTAGTTTCCGTTTCAATCGGTTATATGAAATAAAAAATCTTATTTTAAACAAGGATAGTCGGGTGCTGTGCAAGTATCCCAGAATGTTCTGAGATTCTCACAAAAAAAATTTTTTTTCTTTTCTTAGAGCTAGTGTATTTTTTGTACGTCGTGCGATGAAGCAACTATACAAACGCGAAGAAAGTAGGTGAATTAGGCATAAATGGCTCCAATTGTCTTCAAACAATAAACTAGTAGCATGAAAGATTGTCGAAAAAAAATGGCATTAAATTTTTAAAAGACTTTAGGAAACTTTTTTTGGCAGAGTAGAGCTAAATACAAGCTAATTTTCAAATACAACTAACGTTACTCGATTGCTTTACTCGCTCGAAAATAAACGAAAAATCAACAATTTGAAACCGGTTTTTCTCGACGTTTAAAAAATAATTGGAATTTTTTTCACTTCAATCGAATCACGACTGAAAGAGCTTAAATATGATATATCTCTCGACCATTTCCGATGATTATTTGTTGTACCTGAGTTTGCGTGGAAAAAAAACAATCGACAGGCATTAACGAGCTTCCATTTGTGTACAATTTCAACAAAAACCTTGTTTTAAAACACAGGTGGTTAGTCGTCTTTATCTTAATGAAAACTCATGAGCTATATGTCTACGCCGAAGAGAAGCCGAGCTTTGCACCACTGAAGAAACGGCACCATCGAAGAAAAAGACTCCGAAAAAACAATGAAGACGGTTGGAAACGGCTTCATCGAACGAAAATTGAAAATGCCGAAAAAAACATTGAAAGCGAAAATTTCATTCATTGTATCAAAGACAATTCAAAGAGAGAAAAACCTCAACAAGAAAAACTAAAAAAGACATACGAAGTGGAAAACAGGAGAGAAAACGGGAGAACAAAGAAAAAACAAGACATATGTTTTTATCAACCGAGCAGCCAAAACCAGTCTACCTGCTCAAGTTCTTGTTAGGGGCTGGGCTTCCATTTCTCACCCTACTATTCCAAAGGCCAGTAGAACAAAATTCAGGCCGAACTCACTGTAGCATATGTCACAGAAAGTTCAACATCGACCAATTTAGTGTCTGGTTTCATTTCGGAGGATGGATACACCTTAAATGCCCAACCCTTAAAACTATCAATCAAAGGTCACGCTGCTGTTCCGGTGAAAAACTGAACTTATACCAAAAAAGCCCTCTGATTCCTTAAGCAAACCTCAACAACCACCATAACTCAAACTAGAACACAAACTTAAAGTACTTCAACTCTATGCAAACGGTCTCAGATCTAAATTAGACAATACAATCCATCACATGGCAACAACTGACACGAAACTTTCGGCGATACCAGAAGTGTTCCTTACCGATGAACCAAAGACAACAACTGGATACCACATCATCCCACAAAACTGACCATAGAATCGCGTCCAAGGACGCGGGCTTGCATTCATTATCACGTATGACATCAAGTCTAACAATCTATAACGCCTACACCCAGCCATATGCCAGTAAGAGTCCTGGTTAGTCAACGTCACTTCAAAACCTACTAACAAAGCGCTCTGTGCTTCTCAAAACTACAACTTGACGCACGCGGTCTAAAACTAGCAGAAGACCTTTACGCATAAGACTTTGTCGTACTCAATGAACAGACACCCACACGCAAAGCGAACACCATAATATCATGATTGGCACTTACAACATACTGTGATTAGATCATGTGAATTCGCCAAAGAAATCAATAAAACCTTCATGAATTTTAAAAAAATAGATCGGAAAAGTTCCTGATAGAGTGAAAAAGCAATCCGAAAATTATCTTTTTCTATACCAGCGAAGCCAAGAAAATCTTTCGGAGTGTATGTCTTGAGGCATATCTACATGCCGCGCGGTATCTAGACAAACCTCATTATTGCATTAAGGAGGTGAAGCCGAACATCCCGAGAGAAGCTCTCTCACTCACAAAAGAAAGGGACAATCTCTAGCAGCATCAACCCAGAAACTCTTAAGCAAGTGAACTCAACAGGGCAACAAGTAAACTCAGGTCAACCGAAAAAAGACTAGCCAACACAAACGTCAAAAATCCTAGAAACACCCATGAGAACGGACTCATATAAGACACAATAAAATATGCAAAAAATTCAACCAAAAGTTCACTCCACACTTGCCACAACAGAAAAAAAAGAAAAGAGGCAGTTTTTCTTAGGTCAAACAACTTGATTTGACAAAAAAAATTGTATCCAAAACGGTCGCAGATCCATCAAGTCCAGTAGGAAAACCCATGCGCTTCATTCTGATAACCTTGCCCCAATCCATCTAAATTTTAATGGGAACAAGTCATCAAATACATCACAAAACTCACACAACGCCAGGTCATAACATCAAAAATGATTAATCAATATCTAAACCGCCTCAACTGGTTTAATATCAGAAATCTGTCCATCAAAAGACAAATCAACAACATCAACCTTTTCTGTATGGACTAATGAATTTTCTCGAACTTGCTGGCACAACCTAGGGTTGCTCCAAAAAAATACTCAATGCAATCTGGCAGTTGGGAGGAGTGTCCTGAACTACACAGCTCCCACTTGAACACGCACCCTAAGTTACGCCTTGAAGTTAAACAGAGCAATGCACTAAGACGAATGAGTGACATCACACATCTACACGACGAAATAAAAACTTCCGGTCCAAAAACACAATGAAATGCTCTAAAAGCAGTCTCTGCTCCGCTGCTGCCAAGATCGCAGATCCGAATTTGTTGTATTTTCGGTTTGTTGATCCTTCGGCTTGCTGGCCTACTACCAAAATTATATGCCAAAATTACATGCCAAAACACTGTACTCTAAAATATTATTTCAGCTCGGGGAAATAATTAGGAATTTCTATTGATTCTCTTCAAGAGATTGGTAAAAAGACAAAATCAAATTTGTGTTTCACTCATTATTGATCCTGTAAATTATTTTCGGAAAACATCAAAAGTTTTGAAAAACTTCCCAGAAAATTTCCGAGATACTTGAAAGTAAATGGTCGTGAAGCTAAATCATGATATCTGCTGCTAAAAGATCGTGAAGATTTGCGGTGTCATAAGCCTTCATTCATTTCTTGCTGATAACTTAGAGCAAAACAGAAAAAACGATATTGAAACAAACTGCAATTTCGGAAAACTGAATGAAAATTTGAAGAATTGTCGCAATACGAATTTCCAACAAAAAAACAAGTCAGAAAAGAACAAATCAACCTAATAACTAAAATTTTATTATACCTGAAATTTATACATTTATACATAAGGATACGAACAAAATGAACATGGGCAAAGCTGAGCATCGCATCATTTGTAATTCAAAAAAGTTATGATTAAGATTACCAGCAAATGAAAAGGCAAATCCAAAATTTAATCAAAAAACATAAAATATCGTTTTTGTCAGAAAAATTTAAAAAAAAGGGCAACAAAGTCCTCAAACTAAAATACTTGCACCATTAATAACTTTTAAAAAACAGCTTTGAAAATGCTTAAAAGAAACCGAACCTATCTGCAGGACCTATGCCAACAAAAATTAGCAGACACGAAAGTCTAGAATATTCGAAAATTTTCAGTTAGAAAAAAAACAGGTCCCGACTTAAATCGAACTTCTGAGAAAAGCCGTATTAAGTATGGGTATTACCACTGCACTATATGCAGAGAACGCTCTTTGAATCTAAATTAAAAAAGCAACTTTCAAAAATTTTTAATGAACAGCAAGAAAAAAATCAAAAATTAGGCAAAACTTCTTAGAACTCGTTTACTCGCCTAAAACCTGAATACAATAAAATGTTTTTAATTCGAGTAAAAACGTCCAATTTTGAAGCAAATTTGCTGCTGCGGTAACTAAGCCGACCAAAAATAGCAGACCGACAAAGATGATTTGATCACCGGACATTTTTCCGCTTACAAAAAAATCAGGCCATAACCGGATTCAAACCAATGACCTTTGTCCTCATAATAAAGTGCGTTAACTCTTCGCATCTGACTTTTGATTTCATATGAACGAAAGGTAAAATGATTCAATTGATTCTGTAAAACTAGTTCTTAAACTGAAAAAAGCGTTATAACAAAGTACAGCCGAAAACAAAAAACGACGCCCGTTACAAAAAATAGAAAACAGTAGAATGGAAAATTTCAACCAGAAACAACCAAATTCTTGTAATATGTGGAAGCTGATATCCAATTGAGGACGCACGCTGCTAAAAACAAGAAAAAACACTAAGAAAAGAACTAAAAAACCAATCGAAACACTGATATCTATTTCATAATTTTTTTGTACAGAAAGTTCTGTAGAAAACGAAAATTCACATAAATACAATAATTCACACAAACGCAATGAAAACTAAGACGAAGCAAAACTTCCGAAGCAGCTCAAACGTAGAAAATGAGGCGGGAGCTACTTAACCGAAAAAAATCTACATAATATAAATTTTATCTGCAGAAAATTTCTCTAGGCTTTTCTCGAAAGATGTTCAATGTGAGAAAAAAATATCGAGAGCCACCTACGCTACCGGGATCACTTGCGATACAACACAAACAAAAAAGATGTCAAAAAAAGAAAAAAGTTGAAAAAAATTGAGTCTTCCGAAGTTTTCGTTATCTCTCGATGGAAGCTCATTCTAGGCTAACATGCCAAGTAAAACATTTGAATTTTCAATTAGTAACAGAACAAAACTTACGAAGCTGAAACAAAGCCTACAACTTTTGAGCAGACGCCAGTTGAGCCAAAAAAATGATTTGGTAAAAAAACGTCCCCATATGAAACTATGAGCAACTAGCAACAATGAGAACTGCTTACAGCACAAAAAAATTGACATATCCATCTACGCCGACTGTACCATATTGAACTTTTGAAATATTCAAATAATTTAGTAAAAATGATGAATTTTAATAAGTTACTTGATCATAATATTGATCAGCGGCGTGATTTAGGCAAAGTTCATTGTATGTTGATTATACTTTTGCTAGAAATTATCACTGAGCTAAATTCTACCATCGACACCAAATGAAAAAATTCTTGAATAAAACAATTTGCAATCCCCGTTTTCACTACAACATGGGACGTCGGAAAAACTAACAACACGCAATCGAAAACACTAAACTACGCTCCAATTAAGTGTAATATCAATGATATCCCAGACCGACATAAACTGAACAGACAAACGAAAGTCCGAAACTTCATTCAAACAAAACAAGTTCGAACTCTACACCTTAGGGTGCAAACAGAACCACCCAACCTCTAGGCCAAATAGGAACGAGCCTGAAACTTGTTAAGGTTAAGCAGTAAATATTGGTAAGAAAAGTTATTTACGGGGGAAAATTCTAGTTCCCGATAACAAGACACGTACTCTCGCAAGTATAATTACAAAAAAGTCTTGTACTCAGTTAGAACACCCCTGCTTCTCGGAAAGGGAAAAGAGCTCATCTATTTCATTAACATTCATTTATTATTGAAAAATTAAGAAATTTGCCATTTCCTTCAGCCAGTTCCTAGTCCCAGCATCTTCTTAGCCTTCGTCGTTCAAAAACCAAAATTGCCTGGTTTTAAAATCAGTAATGGAGGGTTCAGTATGGAACAGAACCTGTTTTGTTTAAAACAACTTACCATACTTGTAGTTTGATCTTCTTCCCCTCGATTTCTATTGTTCTGATTTTAAAGTCAATCCCTAAATTTAAAAAAAAATGAAAGGTTGAAACACCAACAAATTTTTTTTTGAAAAACCATATCACGAAGACGTGTCACAAGGCAGTAAATTAATTCAGCGAGCTGATAGATCGCCAAATTGCAATTGTAGATCAATTGCTTTTCAAAATTTGTCAACTTGATCGAGCACGTTTTTCTGATAGCTCTGTAAATGATAGTGCGTGAACTAACCAATTGTGGATATAAAGGTTGCATTAAACGCGTCTTCTGCAAATCTGAAAAGTAGCGATGTTTTCCCAACGCCGGAATCTCCAATGAGCAGCAATTTGTACAATTGATCATACGTTTTAGCCATTTGTTTATCTAAATACAGCAATATTTAACGAGGATGGTACTATTTTCAGTCTATCACACAGTATGAAAAAATAAGGCCACTTGCGGTACAACAATTAATGTCACTGTATAACAAAAATATATGAAATATATTTTAAAAGGTAATCAGAAGGTCAAAAGTATCATAGTAACCGAGGTTACAGTCATGAGTCCCTTCATCATGTATTCCAGTCAAAATCCTTGGAATTTTCTAGATATGGAAGTGATAATGATAAAAGAAGATGTCAAGTGTTTAAGTCCTTTTCATTTAAAATCGATACGGGTTACGCTTCTTCAATAAGAACACGCAACTCGACACGAGATAATATAATATACAAGTGTTACAAGTAAAAAATTTCGTCGAAAGTTATTTTGTCATTTATTGTTCCGAGTACGCAAGCGGCGTTCGCAATCTGTATTGCCAGGGAGATTCTCTGTTTTAAAAAGCTGCCTGCTCTGGGTTCCTCAGTGCATATGCTTAGGTTCTTACAAAGCTTGCTCAAAAAAACTTCTGTGCTGGGGCCGGCCGCGCCCTGAATTTCAAAAGCTAGCGGTTGAAAAAGATATCCATCATTTACAAGATCTTTATATTTGTCAATTTTTCGCTCTTCCGCTTCAGCGGCAGCCGTACCAGGGTTACAAACAGACCCGGCATTAATCCTACAAGGGGCTAAGGAGTCTACTACCGTTACATCCCACAAGAGCTGCTTACCATCAGCCCATGGAACGAGCGTCAAACCGTCTGGTCGCTTCTGATCGGTCCTGTAGAGGTGTCGTGGTTCTAAAACAGACGGAATGTGAGTAGATGATAGACTCTGCTTTATAAGGGCATTCAGGTTTGAATGCCTAGAGAATCTCCCTGCACTTTTGAGGCAAGAAAGACCATGCCAACCATCCTCGGTAACGTCTTTTCCGCACACGCATTTATGCCGTTCGCATATTTTTGATCCTAATCGAAGTCCTATCGCAATTCTGAGTTGTTGGTTCGACAGTTTTAACCTTAAATTTTTGCAGGGGATGACGTTCAACCATTGGGATCCAAATCTATCTTGGAACGCGTTGAACCTTTTCACGTCCGTTGGTTCGAGTCGTAAAATCAAGTCTGCAATTTCGCTGTCAAAAATTGGCTCCGTCCAATTTTTTTGGATTTCATTTTCCAGCCATTTCAATTTTTCCAAGGTCAAACCACCGTTTAAGCGCATCATCATAGGTTCCATCCACATGCTCCAAACCAAAGATTTCGCTCAAGGCATCTTTCGCTCCTACTGCTGAGGCTAAGAAAGCGGGTAAAGCGAGTAGACGAGCGGAAGAAACGCCCAAGCCACCTTTGGCTGCCGGGAGAACTGCTTGTAAAAACTGGTTATCATCCATTTTCACGTTAGTGACCTTGCATAACGAATTTCTTAGTAATTTATCGTAGCGTTCCAAAAAATCATTTTGCAAAAAACAAGGGCTCGTACGCAAAAAATATAGGAGTTTTGGCATGCTAAAGCAATTTTTCAGGAGGTAAAAACCATAATGGGCGTCTAGTTTGTCAATGACATCCGAGATTTTTTCAAGCTCCCTAATTTTTTCGTCGAGTAATTCTTTTCGGCAAAGTTCGCCGATTGGAGATCCTAAAATGAGGAGTTCTTCTTTTGTTTTTATTTTTATTTTGGGGCATATTTTTCGAAATTGTGTTAAAATTGAATTATACTGTGTACTAGTAGTCGGTCCCAAAAAACAAAGTTCACACTTCTCAGTGTTTAAGCTCAGGCCGTAAATTTGTTCCGATTTCAGAATGTTTTTAAGGTCCCGGAGTACTACCTTATAGTCGTCGGCTAAATTCCCATCATCTAAATACCAGATGTTAATTTTCGACTCCAACTGTTTGACTAGTGTATGAATTGTTTCCGCAAAAAGGGGTGGGGCTTCAGGATCACCTTGCTGAGTTCCGTCTTCTGACATTATGACAGAGCTTCCGTAAAAAAGGTAACTAGGTTTAGCATACGCGCAATGGGTGTAATTATATAATTCGGGGCGATTTGAAAAAACATGATTCAGCATTGTTTCTCTGTTTAAAGAGTTAAAGGCATTCTTAAAATCTAGTTTTAGAAGAACAGTACATTTTGGATTGTCGTCGCGTTCAATTAGGTTTCGAAACGAGTGCGCAGCTATTTCTGCTCCTCGTTTGGTACCGCATCCTACCTGTACGTTTCCGAAAAAATTTTGTCGCTCGGAGAGGGCCTTGCTTCCAGCGCATTTAGACGCGATACGTCTCAGCGTGTTGCCTATGGCAATCGGTCTCAACCCTCCGTCTATTTTTATGAGGGCGATAAGCTTTGCGCCAAAAAAGAAAGGTCTTAGTGGTTCCGGTATTTTGCCATCTCCAATGAGGTTTATCAGCTTAGTAAGCGATTTCAGAAAATTAAGTCCTGCACTGCCATTCGACTTACTAACAAGATCTTTAAAAATTTGAGGAAATATTTTATCAGGACCTGCTGCTGATCCGTTTGGAAAGGACATTATCGCTTTGTATAGGTCGAAATCGGTTACGAAAAAACTATCCAACTTTTCTGGATTTGGAGCTGCAAATTTGGCTCGCTGCGGGTGCTTAGATAACAATTTTTGATAGTTATCAGTTGAAAAAGGAGCTATTTTGTCATCCGAAGCAGCAAGCCTTATTCCTCCCTTTACATTTCCTTCATCGAGCTTACTACTTATTAACTTTATTCTCTGCTCGAGGTCACTCAGAGGCGGGCTTGAAACTTGGGGATGGGGTTTTGGAAGTGACACGTCATTTGCTCGAATTTTTTTATTTATCAAAGAGCTCATGCTTGTGGTCTGTTTGCGTCCACTTCTTTTCGGTTGCTCCAAAAAAAACAAGAACGACGTTAAAAAAATTAGCCATTTTGTAACATCTTCTACATTGTAGACGATGTCATTTATTTTGTCCGACAGATTTTCCGCCAAGGGAACACGCGAGTCTTTTGGTACTCTCTTGAGTACTCGGACATTTGAGATGGTTGTATTAACATAATTGTCTAGCACTAAATCATTACCTATTGTTGCTTTATTAACAGATTTTACATCAACGCATAAAGGACACTGAAACCATTGGGTTTTCTTAGAGTCGCTAAGAGAAATATTTACACAACTGATATGATACCAACTAGAACAACAATCACATTTAATCCAATTTATCAGTCCTGAAGGTTTTAAGCAATCTTTGCTTGTACACTCTTTGTTGTTTTTCCTCATCTTGACGCAGCATAAAGGTAAAAAAAAAAGGATTTTGACTGGACTTTAGGGGACTGAACTAACCCATGATAAGCGGTTAGTGGGAATTTTACAAATCAGCAAATAAAAAAAAAAGACAACTAAATTAATTTAAAAGGTTAAAAGGCAGCATAAAGGTTAAAAATCAAAAACAAGGAACAATCTCACCCGAGCTCAGTAGGTTCAGCGGCGCACCACCAGACTTCTCAAGCCAGTTCCAGTTCCCCACCTCCCCACAGAAAGCCACTTGACAGACCTGTCTCTAAAATCCCTCAGAGGGCGCTCCACATACAGGCACAAACATCAAACATAACAAATCTATTTAATAAGTTTATCACAACAATTAGGCTAAAAGTTTATCAGCTAAAAGTCATCAAATTTTTTTTTGAGATACCTATCTTTCTTATTTTTCATTTTAATAATCAGAAGGCCAGTATCATAAAAAAACCAAGTTACAATCAGGAGTCCCTTCATCACATATTCCAGTCAAAACCCTAAGAATTTTCTAGATATGGAAGAGAAAAGTATCACATGGATAGAAGTAAAGAGAGTCAGACAGTTGGGGATCGAGCCAACCAGATTGAGAAAACTAACACCTGCACAAAAAACCGGAGTTGACAGATATTCAAAAAAGATTGACCTGATATGAGGCAACGGGTCTATCATTTACTTATACAAAGCTGTGCTTGTTCCCTTGGCTCTAAGAAGTAAATATTTCTTCGAGAGATAATTATTTTTGTTTTATAATTAAAATTGTTGAGTACACAGGCAGAGTTCGCAACCTCTATTGCGAGGGAGATTCTCTACTTAAGAAAACTACCAGCCCTGTGTTCCGCTCATTTCGAATTTTTGAAAAAAAATTATCCCAAAACAAGGCTTAACATCCAGATATGACCGACTGGCACATACTCCCCGGACTCAACATCGAAGTCCTCATCGCGCGTCATCGTCATATCAGTGAGCCTCCAGAATGTTGAGTGCGTCTCAAGATGCAGTGCCAGTGTTCATTAACAGAAGGTAATTAACGGTATTTTTTGATATTTTAGAATACGAGTAGCCAGAAAGAGGAAAGGGTCAATCCATCTCCGATGGATTTAATATAGAAATGTCACCAAAAACGTAGTAAAATAGGATATTCGAGCCGTGTTTTCAATAGCAATCATGTAGTCTGAGGATCCGAGACCCAGCTATGTGGTTGTGTTGGCATGTAAACGGAAGCTGAAAAAAAAACCGTTTGACTGATGGCCTAAAAATGGTAACTTTTTACTCAGCCCTAGACAGACCAGAAAATCAACTGACTAGGTCGAGACGGTGAAAAGCGAGTAGAATCTAGGTAACTGACGCCGGCCAGTCGTTAATATGTACTTTTTCTACACTCCGTCACTGTGTAGCTTTTGGGCGAATGTTACATAGACGTTTTTATGGCGCTCCTGGGTGGGCTTGTCATAGGCATAAGACCATCATGATCAGCAAACGTTTCAGCGACGAACCCTCCGCTCCGGGCGTATGCCCGAGTTAGAGGCCTTAATGACCTTTGTTGTACTAGGGGAAGGTGCGTACCCTCCGAGTAGTACTATTTAGCTTTTTAACTTAGTTAAGACCGAAAATTCCGGGGGCCGGAGGGTTAGGTGGGTAGTCATGAGCCCGCTGATCCCAAGGTCCCGGGACCAAAAACAGTTAAAGAGAAAGAGTTAAGCCAAACAAAAATAAGGTATAACCAAGAAAAAGCCAAATACAAATTTATCTGAAAAGAAAAAAGTACAAAAAACAGTAAAAAATCCAAAAAAAAAAACAAAAACAAAAAAAAAAAACATAAATTGACAGTTTATATGTTATTTCAGGACGAGATGCGATCTGATCTTCCCATTAGTGGTTGCTTCAGATTGATTTAAATCATTTCTGATAGAAAGATTGAGTGTTTTGGTGGCGGGTTAGGTACCCTCCCTTGAGTGTGGTTTGAGTATTTAAGCACGTTAATGGTGATTTTGCCGGTGACCGGAGGGTAAAGTGACAAGCTGACCGACGTGTTCCAGACTCAACAGCGGCATCAGGGACAACATCCACAACGACTGTTGGGTATCGTTGACACAATTTTAGTATCGTTCGGGTACTATTTCATTAAAACTTAAGTGGTGGGGGGCACAAATGGCGCGTTCCGGCTGCACCCTCCATCGATTGCGAATTTCCGAGTTAAGGGTCTTAATTCGGGTTTTTTGGTGCAAAAGAGGGTATAGTAATATTGATTAACGACTAATAATAGATTATTATCTTTTCTATATATTGCTTATCTCCTATTTAGACCCGATAAGAACCCCAGTTTTGTCGAAAATTTTGGATATCCGAACTTTTTCGAACAGCAAAAAGCTTCTGTACAGTGAGCTCCTATGTAGTTCGGTCCCCCTATTTAAAGAAACCGCGCGAAAAAAGACATCGATCAAAATTTTTGCAATTTTCCGAATTTCATCAATATATTTTGAGGATCGAGTTTCTGAGATTTTAGAGTTAGAGCGATAAAAGTTTTTGTGTTAGGAGCGTGCTAGCATAACGTGCTCGGTTGCTAGAGAGAGTTGCGAGTAACCCTCCGAATAGCTCCGTGGATAGGGCTAGAGACTCAGAGATTGGAAAAGGAAGGAATCGGAGGGTCCAAATTTGATAGTTTCTGGCCAAATTTTTGTTCCCAAACCATCTTTGATCCGGTTTTTTGCATTATTCCAGTGCAGTACGGGGCTACCACGGTCGTTTAAATTATTTTTAGGTACTTTCATTTAGAATTGCGGAAAAAGTATTTCAGAACCTGTATAGGTGGTGAAAAAAGACCAATTTGACGAACGCGTTTTTGGCAATTTCTCAGAGACTAGCAAACCAATCGGAAAAATTTTGATACCATAAGTCGACGTTTTTAATCACTTTTCTAGACCGCGACCGTTTTTGTTCGTCGATAACTTTGGGGAAGAAAAGTTTTTTAGAATTTGTTAGTTCGGAGGGTCAAATTTTTCGGGAACCCACCGAGCGGCAGAAAACTTTATAAGATCACCTTTTTATCTTACTGGGAGGGTTGACCGAGTCAGCCAACCTAGTTTTAAGTCAATCAGAGTGCAATTGGAGGCTTTACGGCGGTAAAATCATCCGTTTTCTGGATGTTTGGGGAACCCTCCGAGGTAACCCTCCGGAGTCAGCTAAGCCCCTTAGCAACCCTCCTTAATAGAAAAAATTCCACGCAGCCCTCTGAAGATGTTAAAATAACCCTAGGGAGTGAATTTAGCTTGTTTGACACTTTCTGAGACTAGTTGGAGACCCTTCTAAGCTAGACTTGAAAAATTTAGAAATTTGAAGGAACCCTCCGAAGCAACCCTCCGGAGCGTATTAAGCCTCTTGTTGACCCTCCTTAGTGAACTTAAGGGGACCCTCCGAAGTTATTTAGGTGACTAAGGTACCCTCCAGAGTAACCCTCCAGAGTAAGCTAAGTGTCTTAACAACGCTCCGAAGTAACCCTCCGGAGTGACTTAAGCTCCTTAATAACCCCCCTTAGTAAAGAATTAGAGGTAACCCCCCGGGGCAGTCTAAACATCATAAATATCCATTTAAGGACGGAATAAAGGGTCAATTACTAACGGGGTGTAAATTTTGGGGACTTAGGAGCCCAGTTAACCTGGAAATTTGCAATCAACTTTGGATTCTAGATCGGGTTTATTAGAGGTACCCGAACCAAATTTTTTTATTGTTATTTCGGTTGTGTGGTTGCCTTGAGCTACTTAATAGGAAAGCTCGGGCAATCGCAGGACACCTAAAAGAAGACATAGGTGAGCGTATTAGGCAAATACACGCTCACTTGAGAAGACAGTGTCCTGGGCTTCGTTCCTTTGGGGCGTTTCAATTGAGGTAGGTCTTTTTCTTTGAGCCTAAGTTTTAATTATCTGTTACTGGAACCATCACTGCTCTTTTATAAAATATTGTTTGATCTTAAACGAGGCAGTGGTTTGATACGAGTGTGGCAGTAAAATTAATACTGAACGAAAGATCACTGTCACCTATAGGATATTCTTATCTGATTATCAATTGTGTTTTCTGTTTTGACCATGTCTTATGAAATATTTATGATACTGTTATATTAGGTAATTGAGTTGAGTTGACAATATCTAAACACCAAGTAGGTCCTTGGTGTAGCTTGAGCCGAATCACTTATAGTATCTCTACGAGATCGAAGTTATATTTCTGATACTAGAGGACTGGAGTGAGTAGACTTGAGAAAGTTTTTTCGAGCTTAATTTTTAAACTTGTGCATTGCCGTCAAATGTTTTTTTTTCACGTAGCATGCTGCGCAGAGACTCGTTAGGAGCAACAACTAAGATTCCCAGGCTGAGTACGGGGATTACACGAAAGTTCAAAACCCCGGCGTAGCCAGTCCACGATTAGCAGCATTTCCGACGTTTTTGCTGACGAAGCAACGACTAAAGGTCAGGCTTGTCTTTCAGTGAGCGTAATCAAACTGAAAAACGAGAAGAACCTCGATGGCAATCAAGGGCGAAGTGGTGAGACCGGACAGGCGAGCGAGACGCTTCCGGGCCCCTTCGAGGAAGGGGAGCAAACGCTGATCCGACCCGACAACCACTATCACGCGGACCTGGAAGAGCCAGGCGAGGTTTTGAACGGGAGGAAGTTGAACGAACGGAGTAGGCATCGGAGCGTTCCGAGGTCGAACCACGAGAAGAACTGTTGTTCAGGGGAATGTCCAAATCAGAGACTAAGTGTAACAAGTGGAAAAAAGAACAATCATATCTAGCCAAGCACACCAAGAATGCAATGATTTTAAGTATAAGCCCGAGGGAGGAACAAACGAGTTCGAAAGCCAAGAAAAAGTAGAAGTCTTCGTATGACGACCGAATGGCGTCACTCCAAACTATTAGTTTATCTTCCAGTTATGACCAACCGGAGATAGCTCATTCGGATGTGGACTTCACGCCGTGACCAAGGAATGATAAGAGCAAGAAAGCATTGTCCAACTCGCCAAGCAGGCCGATGTCTGATGGGATAACCGTAGAAGTTTTCTCGACGTTCGACAGGTTGATGATGTCGATGGGCGCGCAGAAGGGCGTCGCGTAATCAAGTACCAGGCTACAACCTCAGTTGACCTCAACTTCTCCGGGTCTCACCCCGGTATCGGGGGCGGCTGGCAAAATAAGTGACATGTTTGCTGGCGTAATGACAGACCTTGAAGAAGTGCGACGGGACATGACTAAGAAAATAGATCGAAATGAAGAGAGAGTTCGCCAGGGTCAAGAGAAATTGCGAGATGAGCTAATAAACGTGAAGTCGCAGGCGAGAGTCGATCAGGCTCAATTGATTCGTA